CACAATGAAGGTTGGAGCTGTCAGGTAATTGTGGAGGTGGGGGCAAGAGACCCCAAACATTTAACCAAGGTTTCCAGGCTGAGCTCCAATTCTCCAATACGGACCTTTGTTGGCAAGGTGATGTCTCTGCTTTTTAAGATGCTATCTAGACCAGTAATCTATAGTAATCACAAATTCCAGATTACAACACTGAAGAATCAACCAGCATTGTTATTCCCATACATTACTGGCATGTGAGGTTGTAAGAATACTGGCTTTCCTACATGTTTATGTTTTGACCGAGGCAAGATTAGAACTGAGAACGTCAAAGTTCTTGCACACTTCGATTCTCTCCTTTCTCAAACATACAGCAAACAGCTCCATTTGACCACATCTCAGACCGAATGGCTTCTTCTACCATTCTCCCAAGGGAGAGATTTGGTGAGAAGAGTCAACTGTGCTGCCCCTTCACCTCTCGTGAAATCCCCAAACGTGGGCCCTGTTAAAAAAATTAGCCGCAGACCTGGAGGAAATGAATTATGCCTCGTTAAGAAGCTGCGGACACATGCATAAAGCTTAAAAGATCATGAATATAAGCACTTGAGTCTCTTGTCATAATCTGTGGCCGTGTGAATTATCACACCGGTTAATGATTCAAAGTGCTACAGAGAATGGTTAGCTTTTCATAAGGATAGTTCAAAAGATCACAGTGAAATGCAGCCATATGTAAAACTACACACTCATTAGCGCTGAGATATAGGCAAGGAGCCAAATTAACATTCTTGCACTGTCGTTCCTGATTCGAAGGCAGCCAGTTTCTGGCTGTAAACAAATGGAGCCAGCTATCAGATTTACATCCCCTCCTTCCTGTGAACCTCCAGGTTTATTTATTATGTCTGCATTATGTGAATTTCTTCATTTCCCCGGGAGGAAGAATAATCAATTATTCCAGTATCTGTGTATTTCACTTACCACTGTACAGAACAGGGGGACATCAAGTCTGTTAATGCTTGTCTCCTCCTACTCTGAGAAATTGCACAACCCTCTTTGGGAAATTACCAAAATATTCACAAGCAGAAAACCACCAGCCGCCACTCCTCAGCATGCTATAACTTTTTAGACCTAGCAACAACAATAAGTTGAAGATCAGCTTCTCCCCACCCCTTCTCTCCAATAAATCGTGCATCTCTGAAATTGCATTGTAAGAGCCAAACTAGATGAGATATTGGCAATCTATGATCAGTGCTGGGAAGGGGGGATGCCAGCCTCTCATCCCACCACAGTATCATTTCTTCAAATCAAATACCTTCACCCAAATGCTGTTGGCTTCATTAGAAAAAACCATACATCAGGGATGTAGGAACACATTGGTCTATCTATGCCAGTGTGCTCTACACTGCCTGGCAGCAGGATTTCAGGAATGAAAGTGCAACAGTCCCTCTTTTAGTGCTAATATGGTAGGCTCACATTTAAAGGCAAATCAAACAAATTTATCCCACATCCTAAACCCCAGGGGCATAAGATTGCAGTCTGTAAGTGTTGGAAGCATTTGCAATCCTTACAGCAACCTGTCAGGAATGAGCCAGCTCCAAGTGAAGATTTACAGCCAACTGCAGAAAGCAGCCAGGAACAGAGAGGCTTAGATTTCACTCAGGCAGGGGAAAGCCAACAGCTGCAGACTTCGGCTCTTCCTGACCTTGAATGGCCGGATGATAAGGCAGTATCTGAGAGCAGGCTGGAACACAGCCAAAGCTCGCTGGAAGCACAAACAGGAGTGAACAGACATAGGGGGAGCCTCTCAGAACAGGAAGAGGTTGGATCTGATCCACTAAGTCCGAAGTTGGCGAATGGGAGGGCTGCTGGATAGGAAGCAAAACAAGAGACGTAAGGGTCGTAAGTTCAATATCTTCTGTCAACACTGGAAGGAATCTTCAGAAGGGTCATCTTGAGTGATGATGCCAGAGGCTTTGTTAGAGCCGTCCAGAGCTATCTGTTTGTTTTTGCAATAAATCCTCCTTTTTAATTACTTACACTTACTGTGTTATCAAGCTGGGAACCTGGACTCCTGACACAATCTTCTAAGGTAGATCAGTATTATCAGCCCTATACTGCAAACTGGGGGCAATCCTTGCTGAATGACAACAACTTGACTCATTCCAGCTATTGACTTCATAGCTGAGGTGAGATTTTGAGCCAGTGGCCTTCCAGTTCCCACCCAGATTTTTGTATTTATTGTTGCATTTTTCTCGGAATTTCCCATCAAGCATGGTGGCATACGTGGTTTTCTCCCTCACCAATTTATCCTCACAACGACCCTGCCAGGTACATTAGATTGAGAAACATTGACTGCCCCATGGTTACCCTGGGAGCATCATGGCTCAGTGAGGTTTTAAACTCTGGTCTGGCAGTTCCTAGTCCAGTGGTTCTCATTGCACCAGTGTGGCAGGAAAGGAAGGCAAGTATGGCAGGAAGATTTAAGGACAAATGAACATTTAAACATTTCAGTATGCTATGCTATGCTATGGTATCAAGTTATTTTTTAATTTGCAGAATATGGATAAATATCTTTTCAAAACGAGAGCAAGAACATTGGCTATTCTTCAGCAGTTCTCCATGACATATTGTTGTGTTTCAACTCTGACAATTATGAAAGATCAGAAAAGAGAAAGGCTTCTTTGTGTTGATGAGGAGATGAGTGTTTTGTTTGTATTAGACCTCATAGAAAAAAGATTACCCGGCAAAAGCAAGATCACACTTCTCATTGAGTTTGTGTAAATACTCAAGGTACGTATGTAAGAGTCTCGTTCATAACTATATTTTGAGAAAAAGTTTCATGTTCTTATGTAGCTGCATTGTTTTAGACTTTCTGAATGTCCCATAACAGATTGAGGTTGAATCCTGACAAGACAGAAGTATTGTTTTGGGGGGACAGGGGACGGGATTCTGAATGGTCCTGAATGGGGTAACTGTGCCTCTGAAGGACCAGGTGCGCAGCCTGGGAGTCATTTTGGACTCACAGCTGTCCATCGAGGCGCAGGTCAATTCTGTGTCCAGGGCGGCTGTCTACCAGCTCCATCTGGTACGCAGGCTAAGACCCAACCTGCCCGCGGAATGTCTTGCCAGAGTGGTGCATGCTCTAGTTATCTCTCGCTTGGACTACTGCAATGCGTTGTACGTGGGGCTACCTTTGAAGGTGACCCGGAAACTGCAATTAATCCAGAATGCAGCAGCTAGACTGGTGACTGGGAGTGGCTGCCGGGACCACATAACACCGGTTCTGAGAGATCTGCATTGGCTCCCAGTACGTTTCCGAGCACAATTCAAAGTGTTGGTGCTGACCTTTAAAGCCCTAAACGGCCTCGGTCCTGTATACCTGAAGGAGCGTCTCCACCCCCATCGTTCAGCCCGGACACTGAGGTCTACCTCCGAGGGCCTTCTGGCGGTTCCCTCATTGCAAGAAGTGAGGTTACAGGGAACCAGACAGAGGGCCTTCCCAGTAGTGGCGTCCACCCTGGGGAACACCCTCCCTTCAGATGTGAAGGAAATAAGCAGCTATCCTATCTTTAAAAGACATCTGAAGGCAGCCCTGTTCAGGGATGTTTTTAATATTTAACACTGTACTGTTTTTAACACTTGATTGGGAGCATCCCAGAGTGGCTGGGGAAACTCAGCCAGATGGGTGGGGTATAAATAAATTATTATTATTATTATTATTATTATTATTATTATTATTATTATTATCATATTATAAAGTACCTGTGTTCTATGTTACAAATCAAGCACTGATAGGAGTTGGTCCCACCCCCATTGTATTTCTTTTTTTTTTTCCCCCATTGTATTTCTTATCAGTATAAAAGTTGTTGTGGCTTGAGCAAACTTTTGTTCCGACTCAGAGAAAAATGTTTGAGAACCACTATCTTACTCCATTGCTACAACCACTAGGCCATGCTCTTCCTTTTGGGTCCTGCTTGCGGGTTTCCCACAGGTATCTCTTCCTCCCCTGTTAAGAACTGGCTGCTAGCCTGCTTCAGCGGGGTCTTCTTGTGTTCTTATGATACATGTTCATATGTCTCAGATTTATTTTCTCTACCTCCACTCTATTTGCTGCAAACATGGAATTTATATCCATGTTTTGTGTTCTTTCCACATAGCACGTATGGTGTTTAAAATTGTTCACTGGAGCGTGATGGTTTGCTTAGAATAAGAAAACTGATATTTGAATTTAAAATTCCATGCTGGGGGGTAGGGCACACAACTTACGGGCTTTGGTTTTCTAATGGGAATATGTTGCATCGTTAAAGGCAGGATTAAAGCTGCAATTAATGAATAACCCTCTAATTCCCCAACAAGGCAAACAAACTGACCCCAAGGTGCTGCTTTTAATGTGGAAGTTTCATTGCAATATACTTGGCTTTGTAATAAACAAAAAACACCACGATTAAAAAGTCCAATCTGGAGTCACGTTTCTTTGTAGCTGCTGCTGAAACCTCATCTGGCTAATTAGCTCTTCCAGTCCAGTTTCTGCTAATGTAGTTCTTACAGTGTGTCATGCAAATTTATATTAATGCCATTTAGAATCTAAACAGCTTGAAATTTCCCTCGCCGCTCAGCAGAGGTCAGAAATGTTTGCAAGAGAATAAGTTTTTAAAAAGAGAGAGAGAAAGAGAGAAAGAGCTGATTCGCAGGACAAAAGAAGAAGAAAGAATTCAAGCCAGCCAAAGTCCCCCTGATTTCAATGGGAACACATTAATCATGTGCATAATGCTGTGCCATTGAAATCAGTGAGACTGTAATGTGCTTAAATTTTCCTGTATCATATTCTCACGCCCAGTCTCCAGTATATATTTAAAGCAATGCTATGCCTCTTTAAGCAGTCATGACTTCCCCAAAAGAATCCTAGAAACTGTAGCTGCAAGGTATTGAGAGTTGTTAGGAGACTGCCATTCCCTTCACAGAACTACAATTCCCAGAGTGGTTCAGCAATCAATCCCACTTCCCAGGGAACTCTGGGGATGCGGGGAAGGGCTGTGGCTCAGTGGTAGAGCATGTGCTTCGCATGCAGAAGGTTCCAGGTTCAATCCAGGTAGGTCTGGGATGGACTCCTGTCCGAAACCTTGGAGAGCCATTTCCAATCAGTGCAGACAATTCTGACTTACATGGACTAATGATTCGACTTGGCATAAGGCAGCTTGCTATGGTCCTAATTGTCCACGTGAGTTGTTAGGAGGGTTCTGTGCCATGTTTGATCTGTAGCAGCTCACTCGGTAACACTGACAGGTAATCGTGTGCCATGCATACCCTAGCAAAGTTTAAGATTCTAGATTCAGGTAGGCCGTGTTGGCCTGACGCAGTTGAAATAAATTAAAAAATTGTCCAGTAGCACCTTAGAGACCAATTAAATTTGTTCTGGGTATAAGCTTTTGGGTGCATGCACACTTCTTCAGATGGTTGTTGTTGTTGTTGTTTACTGGTTTAGTCATGTCTGACTCTTCGTGACCCCATGAACCAGAGCACGCCAGGCACTTCTATCTTCCACTGCCTCCCGCAGTTCGGTCAAACTCATGCTAGTATCAGTATTCAGTATATCAGTATATCAGTATAGTATTCAGATGGTATCTGACAATTTTTTAAAGTTTAAGATTGTGCAACTTATTTTAAGTCCTTTCAGTTCTGAAGCCACAGAAGACAAATCGAGTGCTCCCACCAGCTCATGTCATTTATTGAAACTCTCAAGGTCTGCTCACACTTGGAAGAAGAGTTTGGATTTAATATCCCGCTTTATCACTACCCGAAAGAGTCTCAAAGCGGCTAACATTCTCCTTTGCCTTCCTTACCCACAATAAATACTCTGTGAGGTGAGTGGGGCTGAGAGACTCCAAAGAAGTGTGACTAGCCCAAGGTCACCCAGCAGCTGAATGTGGAGGAGCGGAGACGCGAACCCGGTTCACCAGATTACGAGTCTACCACTCTTAACCACTACACCACACTGGGTCTCTAACTAACCATGTGGGCCATGTGACAGACAAGGAGAAAAGTTGGTAGTGCTGGCTCCCAGCCTTCAGGAAGGTGATTCCATGCATCTGCCATGTGCAGGTCTCAGCAATTTTTGTAAGAACAACATCTGCCTGCTGGATCAGGCCAATGGCCCATCTAGTTCAGCATGCTGTTCCCACAGCGGCCAACCAGAATGTACATCACCATTAGCAGCAGCTTGGCTAAAGAACAATATCTTCTGAAGGGAAATGTCCAATGATAGCCATGGCCAGAATGCCTGACTGCAAATGCTCCTCTTGTGAGCAACGCATGCCAGATGTCAGGTGTTTATATCAGAGCAAGGTAGTTATAGGTCTAGGCTACATTTCAGCAAGTAATAGCATTCCAGTAATTATTTAGTCCAGTAATTAGGGATGTGTACACATTGCCGCTTACTCCAAAGGGGCGCGGGTGGCGCTGTGGTCTAAATCACTGAGCGTCTTGGGCTTGCCGATCGGAAGGTCGGCAGTTCAAATCCGCGCGGCGGGGTGAGCTCCTGTTGCTCTGTCCCAGCTCCTGCTACCCTAGCAGTTCAAAAGCACGCCAGTGCAAGTAAATAAATAGGTACCGCTGTAAGGTGGGAAGGTAAACAGCATTTCCATGCGCTCTGGCACTCATCATGGTGTTTCATGCGCCAGAAGCGGTTTAGTCATGCTGGCCACATGACCCGGAAAGCTGTCTGCAGACAAACGCCGGCTTGCTCGGCCTGAAAGCGGAGATGAGTGCCAAACCCCATAGTCAAATTTGACTGGACTTAACTGTCCTCTAGGTTTTACCTTTTACTGATTACTCCAGCTCCAGTGTGCTCCCCCTGCTTTGAATCTGAGTGCACATGATGTTAGTCCATAGTTACCCCATAGCTTCTTGAGGAATACTCCGGTTTGATGCTCTTTCCTTCAAACCAGATTCCATCCAATTAGGAATCAAAAGCCACAGTTAAGCTGAGGTGTGTACATTTCAGGCAGTCACTGCACATGTGCAAATGGCAGCACATGCACAGGTGGAAGCTTCAGCGAATTCAGAGTTTTGCTTGGGAAAACAAATCAGGTAATGGGCATCAGCTGAAGACACCCCTGCCTCCTCTCTGGTGTTAATAACAACATTAAAAGGGGTCTTGAAATATGGCAGAGGTGGGGGAGACAGCCTCATTGTATTTCATGCTGCTGATGTGTACATAGCCTTGCTGCGAACCTAATGACTAAGTTACTGAGAGTGTAATTTTTTGTGAGCCTTTTGTATTAATTTTTTATTGAAAAGTTTTCAAATATAAAGAAATAAAGTGATGTGAAGAAGAAATAAAAAGGCATAATAATAATAATAATAATAATAATAATAATAATAATTTATTATTTGTACCTCGCCCATCTGGCTGGGTCTCCCCAGCCACTCTGGGCGGCTTCCAACAAAGATTAAAAATACATTAAAATGTCACACATTAAAGACTTCCCTGATGTCTTCTAAATGTCAGGTAGTTGTTTATCTCTTTCACATCTGATGGGAGGGTGTTCCACAGGGTAGGTGTCACTACTGAGAAGGCCCTCTGCCTGGTTCCCTGTAGCTTTGCTTCTCACAGTGTGGGAACTGCCAGAAGGCCCTTGGCGCTGGACCTCAGCGTCCGGGCAGAACAATGGGGGTGAAGACGCTCCTTCAGGTATACTGGGCCGAGGCCGTTTAGGGGGAAAAGAAGCAATATATGAATACAGTGGTACCTTGAGTTACAAACGCCTCAGGTTACAAATGCTTCAGGTTACAAACTCCACTAACCTGGAAGAGTTACCTTGAGTTGAGAACTTTGCCCCAGGATGAGAATTGAAATTGTGTGCCGGCGGCGCGGCAGCAGCAAGAAGCCCCATTAGCAAAAGCACGCCTCTAGTTAAGAACAGTTTCAGGTTAAGAACAGACCTCCGGAACAAATTAAGTTTGTAACTAGAGGTACCATTGTATATGCAATGTGTGAAAAGTACCCTAAGCCATACATTCTTATATAAATTTGATATTATTATCCTAATACATATGTAAATATTAATAGCCTACTACATTATGTATGAACCCATTCCAAATCGTGTCATATTTATCCAATGTTACTGCAAAAGTAATAGGACTGGCGGGGATAAATGTAAGACATGATCTAAGAACGTTCAGGCCAGGATGTATTGAGATCCTCCATCAATGGCCCAGGAATCTCCTGTCACACATTAAGAATCTCAGAGCCCATCATATATGTGATGAATATCCACATGGAAGGTGTTTTGTTTGTTTGTTTTGTTTTGTTTTGTTTCATTTCATTTCATTTTTTTGCTTTTCAGTGGACAACACCAGTATAGGACTTCTTAAAACACATGGAAGTAACTGATGAGCTGACTGGCTATAATTGACCATGTCAGATTAAAAGGGGGCGAGTGGTAAATGGCAGGCTCCAATTGTCAAAGGGGACAGCTAGTTCTTTGCATCTTGGAGACATGACTTGCATTTTCTCCCGCAGCGCCAGACTCCTTGATTCCCCATAAGCTTTCCCTCATCCGAATTAATGCAAGCTCTTTTTTTCCTGAGCTCCCCTTCACTAATTTCTTTTGACACCGCAGGATTCTCCTCCTCTGCTTCAATGACCCGCTTTTAGCTTGTGCTTTCGTCACCAGGGTAATGCAACTGACAAGCGCCTATATGAAAGCTGACACAACTCATTGATATATATTGTGCTTGCAGAGAGCAATTTGCCCAAAGATCATAGCCTGCTTAGCTATTTGTCTCACACCTACCTGGACAGACAGGGCTGTAAAGCTCATCCATCAACATTCACAATGAAAGCTCCGTGGGATTTTGGAAAACGTACAATGAGAAAATGAGAGCTTGTGTAATCAAGATAAGATAAAAGGTGACAAGCAGGAGAGCTGATACAAGTCAATGTTTCTTGGGAATGAAGGCTCATCTCGCAACTTTAGATTAAGCACAGGTTTATTCTTGTACAGTTGGATCCCAAAAGACATCCAAAAAATGATTTTGGATGCACCAGGAGCTTTAAACTTTTCAGCAGCGGAGGGTGCATATGATGACAATGCAGTCGCCCATCAAACAGTAAGATGAGCAGATCCTGCAATTGCTTTTGAGTACAATGAGCAAAGCTGGTTTGGATATACTTCTGGGAAGTGCAGCTACTTAACCTAAATCTCACTTTGTGTTATATTTGCAGAAAACTGGAGATATATGCTCCGAATATCACAACGTGTTTTTGAACAGTTATTCTGGTACCCTTCTGTTGCACCTTAAGACCAGTTCACACAATGGGGATGTATGTGCCATAGCTTGGCCTCCTGATCATGATCAAGGATGCAGTCCTAACCCTGGCTGCTGCCTGGCAGGGCTTAACAGGACGACTGAAACACTGACACACCTGCAGCCCTGCTCAGCATCCTGAACAGGGTAGAAGGTTGTAGGGCTTGAGCTGGCAACGCAACAGGTCCTGATGCCATCATGGGTGCCAGCAGTGGGTCTGGATTTAAATTAGAAGGGGCATTCAAATCTCCAGATGTTCCTTTTTAGCAGTTAATGGTGATTCAGATCCCCAACTTCTTCTCGGTCAACATAAACCTGTTTTGTTTAAAGATGTGAAAGAGATTGGAACCTCGTAAGAAATGCGGAGGTGTCTAACGTGGGATGTGACGAGGGAAGTAGCAGTTTTTATTTCAAATGAAAATTCCTATGGGGTCATCACATTTGAGTCATCTTATACATATTTCCCATTTTGTGAACAGATGTGGATTTAAAAAGATGCATTACCCATCACCAACTTTGCTATAATATAGTATCTGAAGTCTTACTCCCTAGCTTCTGCTGTAGAAAGGAAGAGCGTGGTATTTATAAGATGCAAAATCGTTTGCATTGCAAAGTGTAACCATATCAGTGGGCCCATTGAGAGAACCATACTGCCCTGGGATGAGCTTTCTGTCCCTGAAGTAGCTTGGACACACCTTCTGTCAGTACTGGGCTGTTGGCTGCAGTCTGTGGTGAGACAGGGACCATGGACAAGCCAGCAGGAACTATGGACCAGCTCCAGGAAAGGGC